TGGAAATAATAATAATAATAATAATAATAATAATAATAATAATAATAATAATAATAGGAACAGAAAGAGGAGGAGGAAGAAGAAGAATGACTTGCATGACACTCAGAAATCAAGAAATGTCAAGGACCTAAAGCATAACCAAAAACAACAAGAACAAATAGAGATAAAAACTGGGCACAACAGTGAAGCCTGTTAAATTTCGGTCCCACTCTAGTCCCTTCCGCTGTTTGAGGGGTTTGCAAATGAGATTAATAAGGATCATTATAGCTATGGATGAGTTCAACCTTGGTATAATCCAATTGGCAGTACAATAATCATTTTCTCTTGGGAGCCGCGTTCCCTCTCAATCTCCACTCCAAGCGTCTTCTAAAGTGCTTGAGCCAAACCCCCCCTACAACCCCCCCCCCCCACCAGCATTCAGTTTGGAAGAAAGTTAAATAACGCTTCCTTTCCCTCTATTTACTTCATTAGGGGAGGGGAGGACTAAAACCATGTGTAAAAAAAATGAGCGACCTGTCTCTACCTGCTTGCAACATTTCCAGTCTGAATTTGGACAGCGATTCCTCTCTCTGCTCACCCCACCCCACTGCACCCCACCCCAAGGAAAGTGATTTTCCCTTCCACTGGCAGATGTCTTTCGGCTCTGTGGACCAGCAGGGTGGAGGAAGAGGCGATAAACAGAAGGCAGCGCCAACTATCTCAGAAGGAGCTGTCCTTGCCAAAGGGATTCCAGCCGGATCCAAATCACATCTATTTGAAAGACGAAAAAGAAAAGTGGAAGGAACAAGTCCCAGTGAGGCGTCTTTTCAGATAAACAGGTGAATAAGCGGAGCTTGAAGGTCAGGGAGTAAATAAAGGGAAGAAGGAAAAACAGAGCAAACACCACGCTGTTGGACTGGGGAGGCAGGATCCACACCCACAGAAACTGATGTGGCCATATGGGAACCCACAGCCAACCCCAGATCACACAGTCAAGTTGCAATCATTCTTAATCTAATATTATCTCCATAGTCTACTGGGCTGACCTGCCTAAGGACTGCCATCATGACAGCTTCCAAGGGCTGAAATGCTGGGAACAAAATGCAGTCACACCAATATTGTGAGAGTTTTCTTCAATGGTCACAAGTACTTACAGTACTGCAGCTGCAACTTGTGTTGAAATCAATTAACTTTTATTTTCCAATAACTGTGCTTACTTGGAGTGGATTTTAACATGGCTTAAACCCAAAGGTCCTAGAGGTCTTGATCTGGAATTCTCCAGCAGAAAATTTGGAGGTACCATGGATTCTAAGAAACCATGGTTAAGAGTCCAGTGAGAAAAATATTTATAGCACCAGCTGTCTACAGTTTTATATGTATAGACTGGGAGCAGGGAAATTGGAGTTCTGGTCCTGCTTTAGGCATAGAAGCCAACTGGGTGACTGTAGTTTCTCTCTCTTCCCCTAGGAAGAAGTTAGTGGCAAACAGCTTCTGAAAATGCTACCAAGACAACTGCAGGGACTTGTCCATGTAGTCACCAAGAATCACTCCCCCCCCCCTCTCCCTCTCCCTCTAGCCCTGCAAGGCCATCATTCAAATGCTGTGTTCACACAGTCTCCTAAACTATGTTTGTTAAACCACCAAGCAAACCATAACTGGCTGGAGACACATGGCACACTGAACTACAAATGGTAAATTACACGGTTTACTGGTTTACTATGTTGTGCAGACCTAAAGAGTGTGATGGCTTTAATTGGGTTGAAGAACTACGCTTAATAGGAAGTCCATTGTTTGGGGGCTTACTTTCAAGGAAGTCTTTGGGAGCGGTCTAGTCATAGGCGCTTTTTAAAAAGTAGTTCTTCATTTTGAGTGGATCTCTGGAGGCTGTATTCCCAAATCCGTTGTACTGTCTTTGATAAGTCAATGAACTTATTCTAGCAGGGCAGTTCAGACAGATTTAAAACAAAACAAAACAGAATAACAGGAGATGATTTTCGATCCAAAGTCTAGAAATCTAGCAAATCCCTTAAAAGGAAAAATACTAAAAAGGATTATTTGGGAGTATGTCCCCCTGGAATAGAGCTTCACTTCCGAAATTATCTGACTTTCGGACAATTTTTTCCAGGAGATTCCATCAGCTTTCTCTACCTTTCTAAAACTGCACAGAATAAATGGCTACTTCTAGACAGAGAAACTGCGTCGGAGCCAACGGAGTCTCGCCCAACAAATTCCCCAAACTCTTTCGTTCGCAGTCTCTCACTTTTGAAAGGTTGATGAGGCTAGTCTTCCTTTGGCCATGATCCTGCTGCCCTCTAAACGCCAGAGAGTCTTCTGACAACCCGTCTGCCCAGCACCTCTGTTCCCCATCGTGTCCAGCTAAGCGTAGATCTGGAGAGCAGCCCGAAGCCGCCTCCCGCCCCTGCCGCTTGGTCCCGTGCAGCGGCGCGCGCGCCTAGCTGGCCTCATCGGAGTCGCTGTAATGCGAGCGAGGCGAGAGCTCCCCGTCGCTGCGGTGGGCTGGCGGCGAGGTTTTTCTTCGCTCTTGTGGCTGCTGGCCAGCCGGCTGGAGGAGCTGGCCCGGCGAGGGGGCTTTCTGCCCCAGAAGGGCGCCGTCCGTGAAGGAGGGGAAATGCAGTGGGTCTGGCTGCACCGGGTAGCCTCCTCCTGTCCCCGCAGCCCCCGGCGACTCTAGGGAAAAACGCGTCCTGCCGTGGCCCGCAACCTGGGCCCGCGGCTGGGGCTGCAGCGCGCCCCCTCCTGGGGGGGTACAAGGCGCGCGCTCGTAGGTCTGGCCAGTGGGGGGAAGAGAAGGACCCTTGCCGCAGGGGGCGCTCTCGGGAGGCAGCGGGCTGTGCAGCAGCTCGGCTAGGGCGCTGATGTAGATCTGTGCCATCTGCAGTGTTTCGTACTTGGAGAGCTTCTTGTCGTTATTAAAGGAGGGGATGACATTGCGCAGTTGGTCGAAAGCGTGGTTCAGCCCGTGCATCCGCCGCCGCTCCCGAGCGTTTGCCCCCCGCCGCCGCTGCCTCTGTACGCCGTTCACCTGGGAGCCCTGGCGGAGAAGAGCGCTGCCCCCGACGGCGGGGCAGGGTGAGCGGAGCCGTGGCGGGGGCGGCAACGGCGTCTTGCAGGGGGCACTACCAGCCTGAGGATGGCGGTGGTGACGGGGCTGCTGGGGCTGCTGAAGCGCGCACAGCTGCTTCCCGGAGGAACTGTTCAAACTCCGGCCGCTCACGCGCTCGGTGGCACCAGCCCGCAAGAGCTCCTCCTCCTCCTCCTCTTCTTCTTCCTCCTCCTCCTCTTCAGCCTCCTCTTCCTCCCCCTCAGCTGTTCCCGAAAGCAGATACCTGGGGGACGAGGAGAGGCGGCCTGGGCAGCAGATACCCAACCAGGAGGAGGGGAAGGCGCCACCCCGACTTGCCGCCGCTGCCTCTTCTCCCAAGAGGAGGTTGTCTTCCAGCTGCTGCTGCTGTTGCGGCCCAAAATCCCTGCCGCTGTCAGCCCAGTCACTGGGCGCACTCGGCGCGCGCAGGTGGCTCATCACGACCGGGGGCGTGCGTGGCGGCGACCAGGGGCGCAAGAAGTGCCGCTTTTGCCCTGCTCCTGACACTTTCTTTCTGCGCGCCCTTTCACGACCCCGTCTCCTCCTCTGCCGCTGAGAGCCGCTTCTTCCCCGCGGGCGCCTTTACAAAGCCGGAAATCTCCCAGGACATATAAGTGTCTACCCACAGGCACACGGCCCGCACACTACCAGGCGTCTCCGGTTGCGGAGGGCGCTGCGCCCCTTTAAAAAGCGGCACGCGCCAGGGTCCCCCACCCTTGCTACCTCCTCCCCCCCATACACACCTC